TGATGTAGTGGATGTTTTTCATCTTTTGCAGGTTCAGGTAGTAGTCGATGTACGTGATAAAATAGGAGCACAAGGACTTAGACTAGATTGTTAATTTAGTTGTATTTCTTTGTTGCTTATTTAAATCATGTTTAAGATTTTATTGTAAACCTGAATATTGCGCGGGATGTAAATGTTTTATTTTTATGAGTTAATAGAATTCTGTAAATTTTTTAGAAATAACTCTAATAATCCCTAGAATAAAAAATTAATTAAATGTAAGAAAATTCGGGTCGTTACAGTATTACAAGAGAAAACTTATCTAGAATCGTCAGCATCATGATAAAATCCAAACACTTGGTAAAGTGTCTGGACCATAAAAACGGGCCTATTTACATGAAATGCACTTAAGTGTTGAACCTCAAAAACCTTGCAACGTATCTGGATCATACAAAGCCATCCCCAAGAATCTCGTGCATGACATGCAACATGTACAGGATTAACTTAACATTTTTAACATCATTTAATGTGTGATTTCATGAAATAGAAATTTCCTGCCAAAGCATACAAAGTACCATTGATAGGTGTATTTTATACACCAATTTTGCACACTTAATTCCATTTTTTTATTGCATTTTAGTTCTTAATTCTTGTATTTTGTTAATAATTGGGGAAATTGCATATTTTTTTCAGAATTCATGGTACTTCACCATTGTTAAATTATTGTGTAGGCATTGTGGGTATGCGAAGCAAAGGAGTTGTGGAGGCGAGCACGAATAATGGACCATTCATTGGAGCATAAATAAGAGAAGATGGACCGGTAAAGATGTAGAAGGGAGCTTAAAGAGAGTCCAAAAGTCGTTGTGTTTCATCATGGCAAAGGACTACGCTTGAAATGCAACCCGTGTTACACTCACATGGATTGTATTTGTCCTTTTATTTCATATTTGGGCAACACACTTTGGGTTGATGATCAACTGAAGAAAAGAGAAAAGATTGAAGGCAAAATTGAGCATGTCAAAAAAGAATACGATCTTGTTTTTTTGGGGCCAGGGCGCGTTTTCCATTTTCGACATTTTTAGACCCAACATTCAGATTTACCGAAGTCACGTGAACTTTGAAAAAATAGCATGGTCGTGTTTTATTTTCTCCCGTACGCGTTTTTTGTCCGGAATGGGCGATTTTGAAAGCATTTTCTTGGGACTCTAAACGTGGAGAATCATTGCAAACACTAGGTTAAATCATTTTGTAAGCATTAAACATTTCCAATTTTAGTATTTTGTTTAATTGTGTTTAGTCATGTCTGTCTAAAAACTCTAGTTTCCAATTTTTATTCTAGAGTTGTTTGTTTGATTTGAAGCATATGACTTGTAGTTTGGTTTATAATTCTATTATAGTGATTGTGTTCTTGTTTTAACTAGAATCCTTGAATTTGATTTTATTTTAATTGACCACTTACATGAGTTGAATTCTTGTGTAGTTAATTGGCTTTATGTGACATCTAATCGCTTTGTACGGTTAATGTTATGTAATAAGCAATATGTTTTCTTATTGTAGAACGTAAATCACATGTTTTCACACTTCCGAGCGTGTGATAAGAAATGAATATTATTGAGAAGCTTGTATAAAACTTAATGTTTTTTTTCAATATAATGTAAGAGTGTATTTAGATTGAATTAGTAAAGTTAGGTTAAATCAAGTAGCGTGTTTTGATTAGATAATATTACAAGCTAGACGTATTAGAACGTGTTAATATCTTTTAGCACCATCTTAAAATAGTAATTATGAATTGCATCAATGCATAGTCAAGTTAAATGACAACATTGAGAATTGGAACTTGAACCATTACAACCAGTTGTTTACAAATTTATTTAACTTCTTGCACGCTTTCGTATCAAATTGTTCTTTAAGTTTTTCAAACAACCCCTCCCTTTTATGACCAAAGTATCTTATGCAAAGAGGTATAGAATATTCTCACATGTCTTTGTGGTTCGACCCTACTTGTCATGTACTTCGTTTTAGTGCAGTTACACAGTGAATTATAGGATACTTTAGTACTTCTTTATTTGTTGAGTTTAACACTCTAACAATCATAATCATTATAGTCACCATAAACTCATCATCAAATCATCATTGTTATCTTAATAACCATAAACTCATCATACCAACACATTGTAGAACAACAATAATGTTGAAACCGAAAACTACCAAAATGTTAGGTCTTTTGTGAAATAAAATGTTGGGTCTTTTATGGGAAAAAAACCCAAACCGAAAGTTAACCTGGAAACCGACTAAATTTATCAAAACCGAAAAGGTACTCCATGTTGCTATGTATGTATAGTTAGCCTAATAGAATTAGCTTAATGTTCTACTCTTTTATTATCAACAAATGGCCTAACACTTGTACATATCCTTTATCATTATTGTTTGAGAATCAATGAGATAATTGTTCCTTAATACTTCATTCTTGAGGGTTTTCTTGAAAAAAAAATAGTTTAGATTTATAACGGAAAAAAATATTGAGTAATTACGTAATTAACCCTTAAATATGGAATTTTGAACTATATGTCATCCTTAAAAGTCTTACCAAACACTAATATTTTGTTTATTTATTGTAAATTTGACCTCGGTTACATAAAAATGATTGTCATGCACTTAAAACTAGGTTCAAATCTTGATTTATTGTTGCAGGTCTTGTTTTGCACCAAAAAATATAACTAAGAAAGTTAATTATCTATGAGGTACATTTAGCATTTTGAGGCCATCGTGTATCAATCAATGATAACCTTTTCGGATAACAAGGGTAAACCTTTGTGAGTTGACTATGTTGACCTAGAAAAAACTTCAAAGCCCTGTAATACCCTACAAACCATGAACTATTTGGACTATCGACAAAAGGAAATAGTCGAAGTATGTTGGAATAGAACGATGGTCAAACTCTTTGGAATGCTACATTCCAAGTCCTTTGATCACCACTAAGCCACACCATAGATGGTTGGTATGGGCGGATCCAATGCATTAGCACCGGAGGACAAGGCTCCCAATGAATTTTTGGTAGAAATTTCTTTAGTGTTAATTTGGTTGAAATATTTCAAGTATACAAAGGTTTATAAAGGATGCCCACGATAATTTTTAAAGAATAAGGTTGTTTCCCCAACACATAAAATTCTTAGATTTGCCACTAATGATTGGATAAATCTAATATTGTCATAAACATCGGGATTAAATTATCAACCAAATATAGATTAATTTGTAGGATAAGTGGTTGCAAACTTGGTTTTCTAATTTTTATTGACCTGCTTACATATTCATTCAAATCAACCAAAACTCAAGGATGCATGTCATAATTATTTTATGTAATTCAATTATTTTTATAAAGTTAAGTGATCTACTTATATATTCTTTTAGTTTAACAATTCATTTGGAAAGCTCAGTTTCGGGTTACATGTTCGACTAAACAACAAGATAAAGCAAAAAAGAAAAGAATATATATATATATTATATATCTATATATCTATATATATATATATATATATATATCTATATATATATATATATATATATATATATATATATATATATATAATACAAAAAATTCATAAATTGAAAAAAGTTAGTAATAAAGAGTTCTAGTTGTAAAAGAGTCGTTAAACAGATGTAACATAAAAGAATAGAATATTTATAAACATGGCAAAGTTAATTACTTAATTTAACTTCAACTAAATCATTTCGTATATATAATTTGAAATTATATTTGAAGTCAACACAGTCGAATGATATTATATAATAACGTGACTCAACTAATAAACGTCATTTGAGTTCAAAATTCAAGCCTTTTCTTGACTTTATTCTTATCAATACGTAAATCTTTGTAATTTCTATATATCACCACTTCTTCATATGAATTGTCGACAGTCGACACATACACAATTCGTTTCACATCAAACCCGTCTATTTTGTAAAGACATGAACCTTATTATGCTTTTTGTTGTTTTAATTGTTTTGTTATCCAACTCAATTATTTGAGCTAATTAAAAGCCATTGAACATGGTCCAGTATATATATGTCATCACTAAAATATGAGATAAATAATGTCATCAAACCTAACTTTAAGGTGGAGTGACCTTATTCACATGCCCTTCTTTAGGTACACTCTATTTATATAATTCTAAACAAATAATTCAATAAGGAATAAAATATAATATTTCTCCATACATGGCCGGTGCGAATAAAATTTCAATCATTTAGACTTGTGTGATTGACTTGTAAGGTATGTTCATATACTGTCATACTGATCCTAATTTAGCGTGGTGTATTTTAAAGATTTCATTTAATTAGTTTTGTATCATTATATTGTTGTATTTTGAGATTCCAATAAATTATGTTATTTTGCCAATGGAAACATCTTTTTAAGAAAAAAATTTCGGTTTCGATTTCACTATCCGCTACTACAATAATATATTTTTCATTTTTTTCCTCCTCTAGCTAATAAGATGTGTCTATAAATTGAGCAGCAGTTTGACCGATATTTGATAATTAACCTTTTAAATTACAAAAATTTCAAACTGAACTAATCAATTTAGCCAAAATTAAACTCCTCAACACCAACTTAACCAAATGGAATAGTTAAAAACTAAAATACTACATACTAAATACCTCTAGCTTTATTGAGTATGTTAAGTGGGTTTTAAGTTAAATAATTTTGAATGACAACGATAATGACTTAATGAGCATAATGATGGGGCCCATGCATTAGGCAATGCCACATGCAAGTGCGATGAAATGGGTGGGTGCCTTCTTGATTAAGCCAACCCACCAACTTCCATACACACCCAACTCTTTATTACTTAAAACGTCTTAACCAAATCACTTTCGCCCTCCTCCTCCTCCTCCTCCACCACTACCATCACCATCGCCGCCCTCAGTTCACTCTCTCATCTCCAACAAGATATTCAAGCAAACCCGGATAACCAATTTCAGGTTTCAGCCGTTTTCCAGTGGTTTGCTGCCGCCCTCAAAACATGATGACAGCCTTCCGAATTATGTTCTTGATCATCCTGGCTATGGCGGTGATTCCGTCTACGATCAAAGCAATGAACCCAAGAAAGCTTGATGAAACCACCAACCCTGTCGGAACACCGGATGACCAAATCAAGTGTGGAAGTTGTCCCTGCGGAACGACTTGTTACACCAGTCCTCCACCACCATCACCATCACCGCCGCCACCATCTCCACCACCACCGCCGAAGAAGAAGCCGCCTCCATCTTCCGGTGTGAACTGCCCACCACCTCCGTATAGTGGAGGTGGGGGGTGGAGGTGGAGGTGGAGGTGGAGGTGGGCTAGCCCCGCCCAATTACATTTACATAACTGGTCCACCTGGTGACCTGTATCCCGTTGTGCAATCTATCTCGGGTGGTGATCGGAGCTTCACGGTGGTGCTGCCGCTTCTGGTGCTGTCTGGGTTAGTGGGTATGGTAGCTTTATTGTGAATTTCATAGAATCGATTACAAAGTTGGGGGAAAGAAAAAAGGTCGGAATTAGATTCAGATTCTATGGAGGAACAGAGCAATCTTTTTGTGATAAAAAACGTTTGTAGCATTTTTACTATTTTTTTTTTTACTTTGATATCAAATAAATCCCTAAATAAAAATCTTTTGTATTTCTTTTGTTGTTCATAGAATTATATAATCCATGGCATACTCATCTTTTTCTTTCTTGTGTTCTTCCTTGTTTTCTGCATAACTTAATTGAGAATTATAAATATATTTCTTTAGATTAAAGAAAGAAAACAAATTGACGTATGAAGAAATTATTTATTTGAGAATATGGTCTAAATATTGGAATCCTTAGGTGTTATAATAAATCCAAAAATAGGAAAAGTTTCCAACGTAACTTAAACGTCTCAATACGTGTCTTATCTCTTTATCTTTCTTATATGGTGGCAAGCTAATAATTAATATCAAATTTCTCCATTTTAATTTCTAACATATAAAATTGCTAAAATGAAAATAATAAATAACTGATACAATGGTCCCTGTGGTATCTTGAAATTTGAAGTTTAGTCCCTAAGTTTAAAAAACCTCATAGATGGTCTCTGTGGTTTTAAAACTTTTAATGTTTGGTCCTTATTGCTCACTCCGTTAATTTTTGTCTGTTAACTGAAGGACATTTTTGTCATTTTACTCCTACAGGACCATTTATGAAGCTTTGTCTTATTTTAAAAAAAAAAAGAAAAAAAAATAATTATTTAACATAAAAGGTCCCACCTCTCTCTCTCTCTCTCTCTCTCTCTCTCTCTCTCTCTCTCTCTCTCTCTCTCTCTCTCTCTCTCTCTCTCTCTCTCTCTCTCTCTCTCTTAAAGTACCCTATATCCCCAAATCTGTACCCACCGAAGAAGCTCAGGCACACCACACAAAGAACACTAAAATCGTCTCGGTGTTGCTCCAACTTCATTTCTTCACCACTTTAGCCAGGTCAAACCACATCACTTGCAAACACTCCTAGAAGTTCAATCAATCGAAAACTCAATATGAAGAAATTAGACTCAAACGATTCAATCAAGGAGAGGATGTATTTTTCTCTTGTGTCTCCTGATAGGACTGAGACGAAGAAGAGGAAAAGTAGATCTTATAATGAAGTTGATGAAGTAGATCTGATAAAGAAGGTGTCTTATGATGGGGGGACTGCTTTCAGTTTGAGACGATGTGTATGTGAAGAAATTAAGAGCAAGAGGGAGGAGTTGTGGTTGGTACCTCACTGGTGGCAGTAGGCGCGAAGGGCTGGCGGCGGTGAAGAATGGTTGTTGTAGAAGAGGATGATGTCGTTAGCTTCTCAATTTGGAGGTTAAAGGAAAGGAGTCGGACCCGAATATATCGAGCTTCTGGGCAAAGGTTGTTGAGGAATCGACACATCTAGGTGAAGAATCTGGCGGAGTGTAAATAATCCAAAGAGTTATGCACCACTGTGTAATCCGATTCCCGATTACTTTATTTGGTACAAGCTTTTTTTGAAGAAGAATGGCCATCTTTGATCCATCTTGAAACAAAAAATGAACTATTCTTAGGAAAAAAGAAAAAGTGTACAGAGGTGGTTTGCGGTGTGTAGAGAGAGAGAGACCTTTTATATTAAATAACTATATTTTTTTAAATAAGACAAAGCTTCATAAATGGTCACTGTGGGAGTAAAATGACAAAAATGTCATTTAGTTAACGGAGTGAACAATAAAAACCAAACATTAAAAGTTTTGAAACCACAGAGACCATCTGTGAGGTTTTTTAAACTTAGGGACTAAACTTCAGATTTCGGAATACCAGAGGGACCATTTATGAAGTTTTGTCTAAATGAATCAAATTTATGGAAAGTTGTGTAGTATATATTCCTATGATTTAATTGCCGCTCTAAAAAAATCTGATTTTATTATTATTAGAATAACATCATTTCATGAATGTATTTAATTTTGAATTGTTTAGAAAAAAGAAACTTTTTTTTTTTGAACGACAATTTTATACAAAGCAGGCCCCCTGCCTAAGAGCAAAAAATTAAAAAAAAAATCAACATACTTCAATACTACTCGTTTTAATAAATGATAAGTGCTAAATTTTATTTCAAGTATTAATAAATTTATTATAGAAAAATAAAGTGAAAATGGTCGGTTTGCGAGAGAGCCGTAGATTGCGACCCACGTCAAGTGAACCGGTGATGGTGAAGCACGGAAATTTTTGTCAATCATGACTACTTTGAATTTTTATATTTAACCTTCAAAAATTACTTTATACAGTTATACCCCCTTGACATACTTATATATACCGCCTCCAAGGTTAATTATATTACTTATTTAGTTATTTACATCCATAAACACATTTAGACCAATTTTATTTCTTCGCATAATTTACCTATAAAGTAGCAAACTATGTATTAATAATCATATTATATAAAAAAGTATCAATTAAAGTTGTGTATTTAATAAAAAATATATAAATTTTGATGGTCTTAGTCTAACCGAATATTATTTTCTAAAAATATATTGACCTTTGTCATTGTTGGGATCGTTCTTTTTGTAAAGAAGATGTGACATGGTCTTGTTATGTTATGACACCTTTTAGAAGTATTACCAAAGATATGTTCAACTTCAAACAAAAGGTATTATCGTCTTTCTATATGATTTAAATATATTATATAGAATTAATTTGATTTGTCTATTTATTTATTGTCGTTCATTTCAAATGGTTTGATCCAAAATATGTAGAAACAAGGATACATAAATATGTAAAGTAAATATTATATTTGAAAAGTGTAGTTAATAGCAAATGTAACCTTCTATAAACATGGAACAAAATCAGTTTAATATGATTAATTATGAACATTATGTTAGAGATACTTTGATTGTATATATCATATTAGAATCATTAACTTTGACATATTTATATTATTTTATGTTTTAAGAAGAACAATGATTAATTAATTTACAATAAAGTCACAAATACAAGAGTTAAAAAACTTAATCATTCTATCATTATTAGTTTGTTCTAAATAAAATATACTTGAAGCTATTAAGTTTCATTACTAAAAGACATTTTTTTTTGTTAAAGTTTGATTGTCGACAACATATCTAAGAATATTCATTAATAGAAACAAACTAAAGACAAGTTGTACAAATAATATGTGCTAAAAGGTAAAGTTAAAATTCAAAATCCATAAAATTACAAAAGTTATGTTTCTCGTTAAAATACTAGCGTAAGATTTTATATTAGGGAAAATGACTTGATAGGGTAAGATACTTTTTGAAATGTACACATTTAGTCCTTATTCTTTTTTTTTTTGTAAAATAAACCCTTATATTTTATTTTTTGTAACAATGCAATCCTTGTGATCGGCTATACCCGGTATACCGGTCATATACGAATTTTCTTTTAGGGAAAATGACTTGATAGGGTAAGATACTTTTTGAATTGTACACATTTACTCCTTATTCTTTTTTTTTGTAAAATAAACCCTTATACTTTATTAATATGTACACATTAGGTCATTTTCACCGGATTCTACAGGTTTTGCTGATGTGGAAGCACAAGTGGTACTAAATAACATTTAATTAGCTTAGTCACCGGAGGTGGGTGATCCTCCAGCAACAAGAAAAGGGTGGCAACCCTTCTCTTTCTCGTCTCTCTTCCTTCCGGTCGAACAACAACAGCCAAACACCCTTTACCTGTTGTGTTTCTCCGATCTGTCTCTCTTTGCCTCAATCTTTGAGATATGTTGCCAGAAAAAGAAGAAAGAATCGACGAGGAGGCTACCAGAGCAGCTCCTCGCCGCCAACTACCGTCTCTACTTCCTCCTGCCTCCCCCTTCGACCTTGTTGTTTTTGCCATCATTCCTCCTTGCTACCAGTGATGTGTAGGAACACACAAAGGAGTCGTCGGAGATCGGGGTTCTCTCTCTTTTTCATGATGAATAAAAGTTGGAAAAATCTCGTTGTGGATATGTGGATGTCACCTGGGTATTTCATTTCAACAAAATAAAAGAAAGGGAAAATGACTTGATAGGGTAAGATACTTTTTGAAATGTACACATTTAGTCCTTATTCTTTTTTTTTTGTAAAATAAACCCTTCCACGTCAGCAAAATCTGTAGAATCCGGTGAAAAGGACCTAATGTGTACATATTAATAAAGTATAAGAGTTTATTTTACAAAAAAAAGAATAAGGACTAAATATATACATTTCAAAAAATATCTTACCCTATAAAGTCATTATCCCTTTATATTACTTCATTCATTTTTCAGACATTATCCAAGAACAATGATTTTGATTTTATTTTACATAATTCCTTTTATTTTATATCTACACAATTAGAGTCAATCGTTAAATATATTATCAAATTAGATATTACAATCACATATCATGCCGTTTAGATAAATAACTTCTTTTGTAAGAAGCATCTAAATATTTATTAAAATATTAAAAACTGATCACATGATCTTGGAAGATAAAGGTAAATGACTTAACTTTTAGGCAAATACTGTACCAAAATAACCAACATTTTTAAATGAGTATTTTCAAAATAGTAATGTCCAATAAAACGATTTTACAATCGAATGTCATATTTTGTGCCATTTTATCATATTTAATTCTTATTCGCTATGTTTCTTTAAAAAAAAATCAGTAAAAAACAAAATATTTTTTCAGAAATTTTGGATTTATTTATCATATTTTGGACATGGTTTCGAATTTCCGGAATACTTTTTTTCCTGTACGAAATCCGAAACTAGAATTAAAGATATATATTTTTTTGTCAGAAACTACTTATAATAAAACAACATAAAACTTAGTTTAAAATACCCTCGATTCAAATATACAAAACTAAATGAGAATAAATTATTTATTAATATACCAAAATTTCGTGTAATCATTTTCATAAATATCTCTATTTCATATCGTAAAAAGAGTGAAAAGAAGGTTCGGAAAACCTTAAAGTGAAGAATGAGAATTGTCAGAGTTAGTTGTCAGAATGATGCGTGTGAAATCAATCTTGAATTTCACGACTCTTGGCGGGGCCCACAGCCTTTGATCGGACCTTTGAAAATATTTTACTATTAGGCTAAGGGGAGTGGTAACACTCTTAGCACATTGCCTTTTTGATTGACACCTCATTTTTCTTCTTTTAGCACCTAATCTTAGCATTTGGTAGGGAGTAGTAACACTCCTAGCATATTATTTTTTTTTCTTTTTCGTTTTCTAATTTAATTAAATTACTTTATTTTAATAAACAAATATATTTTATGCACAAATATTAAACATTAAATTACTTTATTTTAATACACAAACATTTACTTCAATGATTAATTCAAAAACATTATATTATGTTTAACATGACAAAAACAATTTGAACAACTTTAACCAACAAGTGAGTGTCAGAATATATAAATGCTCCTTCCCTTCAATCAACCCATTAAGATGTACTGCATGTATTAAGTTTAAAAGAAACGAGCATATTATGTCTTGCTCTCATTAATTACATTAACAACAATATCAAATTTAAAGAAATAATAAAAAGCAGGAATGTCGGGGAGACAAGAAATGGAATAACATATTATCATAACCTCACTATAATCAACAAAACCTTTTATTTGCTAGCAAGTATGCTTCAATCATAGCCACCTAAAACCAAGTCAAGAGAGAATTAGTTGGAGTTGAAAACTTTCTTTTTGAATATCCAAAGACACAAGTTTAAACACATGGCCTCAGATTGATTTGAAATATCTTACTAAATAACAGAGACATTACCAAAGAACTCAATAAATTTGCCAACAACACCATATTTTCTCAACATTTGGGTCATGGTTAACACCAAATCAGTAATTGCAACACCGTTTTGCAACTTTCTAGACAACTTTAAGCCAACAACACCAGGCAAAACCATGTTAATAGGTTGTTAACAAATCAATAACCACATAAATTAGATAATAAGCAAAATACTGAATGAGTTGGATCATCGTTGAAGTGGTATACTTGTCCAATAAAATACTAAGAAGATATCATGGAATAAGAAATGAACAAAGGAATGAAAATTCATATACTTGTATTAAGCCAATATACCCTTATATTAAAGCAAAGCAGACCAGACAACTAAATATGGTTCAGGACTTTCGTCGAACAGCTTGCGTGCACTCCAAAAAACCCACACTTTGAATACAAATTGACTAAATGATTCCTATGTTTTGGATCATTCTCCAATCCGATTTTGATCAGGTAGGCCTCATAACATGATTTAATCGATAGAATTTAAGCAAAAAAATGCCTCAAGAAAACAATCGATTGTGGTAACAATTGTAGCTGTGAGATACGAATGAGTAATAATAGGCATCTGTTTGTACCAATCCTCCAACTGCTTGCGCCATTTTTAACCCTGAAATCGCTCAATCTATCGATCTAAGACACGTTCCCAATGTGTTTGGAACGAAATCGCACCCCGATATGAACTGGAACGAGGATCGTGGCAAGTATAGCGATTTATGTTACTATGAATTCTGGCTTCATTGTTTTCAACCAATCACAACACATCTACACACTATCTCTCCTCTCGCTACTTCCATAACGTTTCTCCCTTAGCGACCCCCCTAGCGAGCGCTAGGGGGCGGTGTTCCAGAGCCCGCAGCGAG